CGTGAATATGAAAGGATCCAATTGAAAATAAGTAGACAAAACTTGTCTAAATTATTCAATGCTGTAGGGAATTCAGTTTTTTTCTATTAAATTGCTTTCCAACATGTCTCAATGAAAACATGCTGACAAAATATACGCAATATATATATATATATATATATATATATATATATATATATATATATATATATATTTTTCTTTTTTCTTTGATAGAGGTTAAATAACAAGTAGGGTCTAAAACTGGTCTCAATCTAACATCTTTCACTTTATTAAAGGTTCGTCAGACATCAAGATAGAAATGATAAAAAGCAAAGAGACGCAGATTAATGGTATGTTGTGTTTGGTTTTTCTTATTGGTTAAATACATATCACGTGTAATGAAGTAACAGGTAATATTCAAATATGTGTCAGTAACATTTTGGGCGCTAAAGTCTGTAAAATTTAGTGAGACGCGACAGGATGTTTTGAAAAAAATTGTTTTGGTTGGTTTGAATTTTTCATTAAAGAATATCTCGTGCGTATTTTGTATATATCTTCATTGGTTTTAACGTATTAGAAAGTGATGGGTTAGAATAATGAATCTGTAGAAAAGAAAATATATTATGCTTGTTTGTATGTTAGCGAGAAATGTTAATATGATCTTCAGGAGATATTGAATATTACATTCCGTGAGTCAGTTTAATTTAGTTATATTTACATACACGTTTATTTCGAGGGAAGTTAATAAAAAAGATTCCATGATGAACCTAAAGAAAAACATCAATGGATACAAGAAAATAAATTATAAAAAATTGAACTTACGAGAAGAAATTTAAATATCGAAAGCAAAAATGTCGGAGAAAAAAAAGAAGGACAATATATTAAATAAAAAGGAAAAAAAATAAGAAGGAAAGAAAAAAAAACGAATGAAAAGAAAAACGAAGAATTATTTGAGAAAATGAACTAAAAATCACCTTGAAAATGTACGAAAGCAAACGAGAAATGGGGAACAAAACGAGAAAAGAAAAGAAAGCGAGAAAAGAGAAAAGAAAAGAAAAGAAAATGAGAAAGAAAAATAAACAAGGAAGAAAGGCCCCCCACAAAAAAAAAATCCCCAAAAAACAAAAGAAGGGAGAAAATCAAGAGTAAAAGAAATTAGAAGGAAAGGGAAAAACAAAGAAAAGAGCTAAAAGAAAAAATACGAAAAAAGAAAGAACGGCAAAATAAATGAAAAGAATGTATGAGGTATATATATATATATATATATATATATATATATAAGAAAAAAAGGCGAAAGATATAAGAAAAAAGTAAGAACTAAAAATCACCATAAATATGTACGAAAGTAAACGAGAAATGAGAAAGAAAACGAAAAATTAAATGAAAACAAGAAAGAAAAATAAACAAGGAAGAAAGGCAACCCCCCAAAAAAAAACAAAAACAAAAAAAAAACTCCCCAAAAAAAAAAAGAAGGAGAAAATCAAGAGTAAAAGAAATTAGAAAGAAAGGAAAAAAGAAAAAATAGGAAAAAGAAAGAAGAATGGAAAAATAAAGGAAGAGAATATATGGCGTTTATATATAATTGTGTGTGTGTGAGTGTGTGTGTGTGTGTGTGTGTTTGTGTGTGTGAATATGCGTGTAAAGAGACCAAGCGAGGGAAAGAGAGAGAAGGGGAAGCGAGAGTACAAAAGAAGAATATTTCGGATATAGTCTGGTCAACTCTGACATAAACCTATAAAATAATAATAACGTCGATATTATCACTTAATAAAGAAAAGCAACAAACGAAGTGAAAATTTACTAACAATAAATAAGTAATAATAGTAATAATAATAAAGTACCCAGCGATACTTTGTAGGCGCACTGCTCTCACGCTCGATAATAATAATAATAATAATAATAAGGAAAAAAAACGTTCCAATATGCGAAGCTCTGTGAATAGAGTGTACTGTGTAATTGTCCGAAGATGAAGGAAAGGGAAAAAAAACTCCAACGCCGACATTATACACACACACACACACACACACACACACACACACACACATATATATATATATATATATATATATATATATATATATATATATATGAACTAAAATAAAATCCATACCCACCAGCTGAAAAAGCATCTAGTCTAGGAAAGGGTATGGGAGATCTTTTTCCGGTTGAAACGCAGAAAGTTAAGATTGCGATTTGTCGATAAGTGTGAAGAGACGACTTCATTGAATTATTGTTGGGCATGTGTGTGAGAAGGAAAAAAGAACAGGAGTCGGTTCGGCAAGTATTTATTGTAGTTAGTTCGGGTAGTTGGGTTTCTGGAGACAAGCTGGGTGGATCGGTAAGAAAGGCAAAAGAAAATGGTTTTGGTGGGGAAAAGGTAGTGTAAGTGGAGCCCACCTGGGTCTGCATTGGTTCGGAATAACTTTCAGGAAAATGTATATATCTCTTTCATTAAATGAATCAGTGAACAAAATTAATATGAGACGAACAAACATTTGGTAAAAGAGAAACTGCAAAGTAAAATACGTAAACACACACACACACACATATATATATTGGTAATAATCCGTTGGTATATAATCCGAGTGAATCCTATTAATAAAATATTAAATATTAAAACTCATTCACACATAGAGCTCAATGTTTTAATTAAGCAGAGCAATATATATATATATATATATATATATATATATATATATATATATATATATATATATATAATAAAGGCTTAAACACTAATATTCCATGGTCATAATTTAGATATATGATTGCATATACTGTCCTGGACATTGAGTTCTACCTGGATTCTATCCTCTTGGAATTATTTTTTATACAAATATATATGTATGTGTATGTATGTATGTATATATATTTATATATTCTAGATATATGATTGCATATGTATGTGTATATTTACCACTAATATTATATATATATATATATATATATATATATATATATATATATATATATATATATATATAATGATAAAATATAGTTTTAAGGTATGCTATATTTATGTGTAAAAGTGCTTCATATCTAGTAAAAAGTGGGATTTCTTCTATGTTCCGTGATCATGGTTCTCCACAGTTTCCTGTCCTTTGTCGCTCGTAATCTTTTACGTTTTCTTACATCTTGCCCAACATCCTCAAGTCCGTTAGGAAGATTATGCATTGTTTTCATCTGTCCCTCTTACTTGTGAAAATCAAATTTCCAAACCTACTTTCTCATTATGCGTCCTAGAAATTTCAACTATCTCCTCCTGATGTTAAGTATAAGTGTCCTTTTTGTTTCCATTTTCTCTAAAATGTTTGTCGTTGTTCATATTTTCCCTCCATTGTATTCCCAGCATCATTCTGTGGAGCCACATTTCCGTTGCTTCAAGTCTCTACTTCATCTGTGTGGAGATTATCCAGCATTCACTGGCATATAGGAGGACTGAGGACTGATATTACATAACTGTTCTGTGCTCTTTGTCTCTAACGTAATTTTTCTTTTTCTTAATACTTTTTTAGCTTTTGTAAGGCTTCTTTCGTTATCCCAATGCGATACGATATAAAATATAGCAGAACATCATGTTAGCGATTTTTTTTTTAAGCGTTTCACACCAAGCAAGACGTGAAGCCACTAGGACGCAAGGGGTTACAGAAAATTTAGAGCAAGATCAGATAGGAGTGATAGAAGAAAGGATGAGGAGAAGGGTAGTGGATAGATCAAGTCAACTGGAGATGTCGGTTGACATTACATTTGAATAGCTGGAGATTATAGCTCTCAGGGAAACTGGAATAGGAAAGGGAGTTCCACAGACGAGAGGTGCGAGACATGAAGCTATTGGAGTAGAAGAGACGGCTACATTTAGGAGTTTCGACAGTGAAAGGGTGAGAGCGGGATGCCAGCCTCGTAGAACGCTTGAATTCATGAAATCTGGGAACCAGCGAAAGCAGCTCCTCGGAGCACCTACCATGAAAGTATTTGTGAAAAAGACAGTGAGAAGCGACGGCGCTTCTGTGAGAGAGTGACTGTAGACGAGATGCCAGATCAGGGCCAATTATATTGCATATCCGCCTCTGGAGCCTATCAAGAACCCCGAGGCAAACAGAAGGGGCTCCAGACCATATATGGCAGCAATACTCCATGCAAGGGCGAATTGTTGATTTGTAGATCTGGAGGATCGATTCCGGGAGAAAAATTTCCTGGCGCGGGCACAGGGAGCCAACTTGCGGTGGACGAAGCAATTGACTCAATGTATTTGTTCCATCTCAGTTCAGCCGTCAACGTCAGACCGAGCAGCCGCAGAGAGGTGCTCTCGAGAAGCTGAGTGTCAGACATTTTAATGGGGGGCAGGGAAAGATCTCTGTGGTGATTAATAGAGAGCAGTTTTGTTTTTTAGGCATTAAATTTGACCAGCCAATTCCTGCCCCAGTTCACAACCGTTTGGAGGTCCTATTGTTGCAATTTAAGAAGTTAGGCAGCTTTTAATATTTTTAATGGTTTCATCAATGCATTATTTCGTCTGTGAGAGAGGAGTTGCAGGATAAAATAAAAATAATTCATCACCCACAAAGACGCGGAGATGCTTTTTAACTCTATCGAGACTGGTATGTGAGGAATTAAATCATAGAAAAATATTTTTATTTTCATTCAAGTTTTTTTTTGTTACCCTTCGAAAACATCTTGTTAATTTTTTAACAATATTTGCTTTTTTTTTTTTTTTTTTTTTAAAAAAAAAAAAAACTCAATAAAAATTACGATATAAAATATATGGAAGAAATTATTTTTATGAACAAAACTTAAAAAATAAATATTCCGGAAATGAAAATTTTATCTTGTTCAATTTTCAGAATATAATATTTGAAAATTTTCATATTGCTTATCTCCCTTTACTCTAAGTATGTGATCTAAATGCTTAGTTAGTTACCACTTTCAGTGTAGAGTACAAATATCATTTATTTATAAAAGAACAAAATAGCGAACAAATAAAATCTCGAATTGCTTTTGTTCGAAACACTGTATGATGTGGGCGATAACGGCTCTCCACAATGTCCTGTCATTTGATCCATTGACACAAACCTATTAAATAGGCTACTTGATGTATTCCTTTGTCTCTCTTGTCTTTAGTATATCCTGTGAGTATCAAATTCTCCAGCCTTCTTTCCTCATTATATATCCCAGAAATTTCAGTTGTCGTTTTTATTTCCCGATTTTCCTTAAAACTTCCTCCATATTCACATGTCCAGTCAATGGTATTCTCATCATCATTCTATAGGATCACATTTCTCTTACCCCAACTCCTCTTCCTCTGTGAGGAGATTGTCTAGCATTCGCTGCCATATAGAAAGATTCACATTTCGTAGCAATTCAACATTCATTTGTTTGATTGTTTGTAATGGCTATTTATTTGATTTTTTTTATACTTTGTGTGGGTTTTCAAGGACATCTTTCGCTATTCATAACACGTCTTCGGATTTCGGTGTCACATTACCCGGCGTTTGTTGTAACGCTTCCCAGATAGTTAAATTTCAGTACTTGCTCGCTTCTGATGTCCCCATTTTGTAGCTCACATCTTGGGTTGTCCATCGTGCTTACGACCATTCTTGCAATTGATCGTTCGACGTTTTCTCTCGCCTTCGTTTATTACCCTGTCTAGCTCTCCGTGTACTTTTTTTTTCTGTGTCTCCTATAAGTATCGTATGCCGTTAAGATAGTGTCCACCAGTAATAAATCTTGGCAACACTGCTAGTTCTCTTCAGCTCACCTCGATACATAGGTTGAATAAATCCGGTGAGATGATCCATCCTTGTCTTTTACCATTTTCTGTTTTCTGGATTTGCTTAATTCACTTTCTGTCCGTATGCAGGGGAGTGGGGTTGTTCCCAGCACTTCAAATAGATCTTTGTTTCCAACAGTATCTAATGCTTTTGCGTAGTCTATGAAACATATGTATACTTTTTTATTGCCGAATTTTCTGGTAAGGCATGAACTCACGACAAGGTTTGTATTTTTAACCAACGAATTACAAGGTTGCGTGAAACGACTAAATTGGGATACGTTATAAAACCATTTAAATATAAATAAATGATTCTGCGATCCATATAACATCAGGACAACCTTCAAAAGCTGGATGACACATCGCAGATACCTCTCCCGAGTAACCCCCCCCATAGTTGAGAACATGACCTAAGACTGTGTGTACGTCATCAAGTGCAGCTGCGGAAAGAAATATAAAGGGGAGACAGGCCGTCCCCTTAAGTTAAGGCTTCAAGAATACCAAAAAGCTGTAACATGAGAAGTGGAAAAATCAGGCGTGTCTGACCACATATGGAGAGAAAAGAGAGATCACCGCTCTCTGTGGGATCTGGTTGAGATCATAGACAAAGAACATCATTAGAAAATTCGTAAACTTAAGGAATCAGCATATATGCTAGGTCACAAAAATCTCCTGGGCCGACCAAACATAGAAATGAATACAATATGGGAACCAGTAATAAGGAGTGCCAGAAAAAAGCAATAATAAGAACGAAAACTGCAATATGAACTCTGGTAAAAAATATATATGATACTAGCAAAAATTACAATATGAACACTGGTAAAAATGGTTGCTGAAGACATTAAGTTTATAAGAAATTCATACATAGATTTGCTTAAGGACACATGGCACATTGGATTAAGGCGTTGGTTAGATTCTGTGACAGGACCCAAAGTATTGTGAGTTCAATACCTGGTTATAGCAGTGGATAACTTGAAGAATTAACCGGAGACAACTGATAATTGAATATCCATTAGTCATGGCACGTGGAACTAGAAGTCTAAACCCAGCGAGCAAAATAAAGGGTCCAGTTCGACATTCCAATCCCCTGAAGAAGGCCAGAGCGTACAACGGTTGAAACGTTGTGATAAATATGGCAACAAAGATGAGGACAATAGACAGAATCATGTAAATAGTATAAATAAATGGAAATGAAAAATATGTAAATATAATCAAATATTTAAAATTGACGGATTTACCGGATATTAATACTTGTAAAATCCATGAGACATAAAATTCCTAGTTTTTCTTGATCATCACTGCCTATTGGGACTCAACTAAACTTATATATATATATATATATATATATATATATATATATATATATATATATATATATATACACATACATATATATATATGTTCCATGTATCTAAAGATACTGGAATTATGGTCAGTTCACTGTAGCATAAGTACCTGGCACCTCCTGATCTCCTTTTACTTTTTACAAGAGGCCGAAAATGAAGTGCTGCCACCATATATGGGCAAGAGATACCAGTCTTCACTTTTCAGTCTCGGTAGAGTCCAAGCTTGTGGGTGATATAATTATTTTGCATCCTGCAACCTCTTTCCCACAGACGAAAGGTCGCAAGCCACTCACTGCTCTCTCGCTGTTTCCATGGAAAGTTCTCAGACGAACTACATTCCATAGTTCCACTAGTTCTGGCCTTCACGGGTAAGACTCGCCATGCCACGCCCATTGTATCGAACCACCTTCATTCTCTTTGTATCACATTGGTGAGATGTAAGTCCCATTAGAACAGATCTTTCCACGGACCGCTGCCAAGAGGATGCTTTCCCGATACCGACAATCTTAACCCTTTCAAATCTTGGGATAGCCGCTATCTTACCCACATATCCCCATAAACTGTGTCTCTTACTCTGTAACTCTCTACCTCGAGTGGCTCTTAGAACATGTACAGGGTGAACATCATTATAGCAAAAACAAACAAACAAAAATCAGCAACTATAGAAGGAACAAAATTTATGGTTTCAGTCTTGCTTATTGCTAAGAAATATTTCGCATAGTTCAGCCATATCTAATTACATCGCCATTTTAATTTGTTCGAGTTATTACAATAAATAAGTACATGAATAAGAGTCCTGGCCAACAAACGAACTCCCTCTCCGACACCAAAACTCGGTGTCTGTCGTAAGAGCCAGTCACGGATCTGTTAACGCATGATTGTGTGAATCCCTCACAGCTTGCACCTTGCTAAATATATTCCCCCCGCCTCCATCTCTTTCTCTGTCTTTTTAAAATCATTTTCTATTGAAGGGCGATTTTCACACTGGAGATGCGAACGAGTGGGGAAGGAATATATTTACGTCGTTTCTTCCTTAATTTCGCATTGACTTCATTTCCTCAATCTATTTTCAGTTGGACCGAGAAGGAATAAAAAGAAAAAAGAAAAAGAAAAAAAGAAAAAAAAGAAAGAAAGATAAGAGTAGAAGAATAATAAAGAAATAAACATTGTGGACACCTCTTTTTTTTTTGCTGTTGTCGGAAACTTGATCAATCATTTCATTCCCATTAAGCGGCCATGATAAGATCTTAAAACTGAGTGATATCTTTTCATAAGTATATGAACGTCTGCACACAGAATTAAACTCTTCCAGGGCTCAACAATAAATAGACATTGGCACCCGAGCATAAAAGTATACAAAGATATATGGAGTCCATGCATGCACAAAGATATTCAAATGATTGCAGCTATCTATCTATCTATCTATCTATCTATCTATCTATCTATCTATCTATCTATCTCATTCTGTTTGTATTTCTCTCTCGCAATCTATCTATCTATCTATCTATCTATCTCATTCTGTTCGTATTTCTCTCTCGCAATCTATCTATCTATCTATCTATCTCATTCTGTTCGTATTTCTCTCTCGCAATCTATCTATCTATCTATCTATCTCATTCTGTTCGTATTTCTCTCGCAATCTATCTATCTATCTATCTATCTCATTCTGTTCGTATTTCTCTCGCAATCTATCTATCTATCTATCTATCTATCTATCTATCTATCTCATTCTGTTCAATATTCTCTCGTAATCTATCTATCTATCTATCTATCTCATTCTGTTCGTATTTCTCTCGGGTTCTATCTATCTATCTATCTATCTATCTATCTATCTCATTCTGTTCGTATTTCTCTCTCGCAATCTATCTATCTATCTATCTATCTATCTATCTATCTCATTCTGTTCGTATTTCTCTCTCGCAATCTATCTATCTATCTAATTCTTTTCACATCGATCTATCTATGTATGTATGTATGATATATAGGCGCGTGGGCGAGGTGTTAGAACGTTTGGTTTCTGACCATGAGACCCCGGTTCGAATCTCACCACGGTTGATTTGCTAGGAAGGAGACATCAAGACGTTTGGAAAGTGTCTGAAAACCATACCATGGCTTGACCCAAGCCTTGTGATGGAACACTTTGGGGTTGTCGATAGCTGTGCTAACACGAAGTCACAAGTCGTCATGACCGAGAGTTTGAGTGTGCTGGCCTTGTTCAAAATCACGCCAGACAACACTCTCTTTCCCAGAAACTGTAACTAAGGTCTGCTCAGCATAGTTGCAGTATAAACCACAGATGGGCTCTGTGGGTGTTGAACAAAACAGATGTGCCTGTGTCTGCAATAGGGATTGGCTAGCCACCCTAGTAAACGGGTATACTCGAATACGAGTGGCCAGATGTTATGTATGCATGTATGTATGTATGTATATATCTATCTATCTAGTTCTGTTCATATCTATCTATCTATCTATCTATCTATCTATCTATCTAGTTCTGTTCATATCTATCTATCTATCTAGTTCTGTTCATATCTATCTATCTATCTAGTTCTGTTCATATCTATCTATCTATCTATCTATCTATCTATCTATCTGTCTGTCTTTTCATATCTCTCTATCTATCTATCGAAGGTCTGTCTGTATTATAATAAAGATTAGGACCTGAAAAAATAGTTTCAGTGTTTTGTGAGATATGAAGAGTGTGGGTCTATCATGAAGTGTTCAGTTGTAATTAAACTATCAATTCTGTTTCCGGTACCTTCTAAAGTCTAATCTATTTATTTATTTTTCTTTAATAGAGTTGATAAGGTTGCCTATTCTGTCCATATCTATCTATCTAATTCTGTTCATATCTATCTATCTATCTATCTATCTATCTAATTCTGTTCATATCTATCTATCTATCTAATTCTGTTCATATCTATCTATCTATCTATCTATCTATCTATCTATCTAATTCTGTTCATATCTATCTATCTATCTATCTATCTAATTCTGTTCATATCTATCTATCTATCTATCTATCTATCTATCTATCTATCTATCTATCTAATTCTGTTCATATCTATTTATCTATCTAATTCTGTTCATATCTATCTATCTATCTATCTATCTATCTATCTATCTATCTAATTCTGTTCATATCTATCTATCTATCTATCTATCTATCTATCTATCTATGCATGGTTGTTGCTAAAACAGACAACCCAATATGCAAATTACATATCAGAAATAGCAAAATTAAACAAAAGTTTGCTTTCTAAAGGTAAGGAAGTTAAGCAACGTCGAACCTGGTCAGTATTTTGATGGGGGATATGGATGTGGAAGTGGTGTGATGAATTACAGCTCGGAAATGGAAAGCTGAGTTCCAATTCCCATTAAGCTCATTATAATCACTTATACGCAAATACCATTGGGAAAGATATGAATCCACTTCTTCCCCCACCAACTATGGATTAATTAGTAAGACCTATATCCGTAAATCATCATCTCCAAAAATTCTTACGATGTAAAATTATCTTCTGGCTTTAAATAACCTACGAAAGATTTAACACTGGTAAAATGATACCCAAATTAATTTTATTTAAAGCCAGAAAATATTATTAAGCAGAGAGGACAATAAAAGAACAATAATTAAGAAGACATAAGATAGCGATTTACATAGCATTTATTTTTTTGAAGCTCAAACTTTACTGAGAAGCAAGAAGCCGGAAGAGAGTTCCACAAGTGGGAAGTGCAAGAGAAGAACCTGTTAGCATAGAACTTACGGTTACATCTAGCCATTTCAACTGTACAATGATGAGATGTAACATAGAGGAAAGTTAATTAGAATAATTACCATAGAAATATAGAAAAGGTAGAGTTACATTTCAAGATTTGGATTTTATCAAGAATCACGGAATCTATAGCAGGAACTACAGGCCAGATGTGACAGCAATATTCAATGCATAGATATAAATTTTATTGTGAAAATATTGACTTTCACAAGAGAATCTGACAGGGTTTGTAAGTTTTATGCTATCAAATATATAATGATATTAACCCATATACATGTGTGTATTTCGTTGATTTTAGACCTCAAACAAATGAAAGTATTTGTAAAACAGACAGAGAGAGGCGACGGCGCGTCTGTGTGAAAGTGACTGTAGACGAGATGCCAGAACATGGCCAATTATATTGCATATCCGCCTCTGGAGCCTATCAAGAACCCCGAGGCAAACAGAAGGGGCTCCAGACCATATATGGCAGCAATACTCCATGAAAGGGCGAATTGTTGATTTGTAGATCTGGAGGATCGATTCCGGGGAGAAAAATTTCCTGGCGCAGCACAGGGAGCCAACTTTTCTTGCGGTGGACGAAGCAATTGACAAATCTAGTGTCACTGACAAAACTAACCTGGCCGTGCGTCTCGAAAAGGACCTCCAATCGGTTGTGAACTGGAGCAGGAATTGCCTGGTCAACTTTAATGCTTCAAAAACAAAATTGCTCTCTATTAATCACCACAGAGATCCTTCCCTGCCCTCCATTAGAATGTCTGGCGCTCAACTTCTCGAGAGCACCTCTCTGCGGCTGCTCGGTCTAAAGTTGAATGCTGACCTGAGATGGAGCAAATACATTGAGTCAATTGCTTCGTCCACCGCAAGGAAAGCTGGCTAACTGTGCCGCGCCAGGAAATTTTTCTCCCCGGAATAATTGGCCCTTCTCTGGCATCTCGTCTACAGTCACTTTCTCACAGACGCGCCATCGATTCTCTCTGTCGTTTTACAAATACTTTCATGGTAATTGCTCCGAGGAGCTGCATTCGCTGGTTCCCAGACTTCATGAGTCCAAGCGCCCGACGAGGCTGGCATCCCGCTCTTACCCTTTCACTGTTGAAACTCCTAAATGTAGCCGCCTCTTCTACTCCAATAGCTTCATGTCTCGCACCTCTCGCCTGTGGAACTCCCTTTCCTATTCCAGTTTCCCTGAGAGCTATAATCTCCAGCTATTCAAATGTAATGTCAACCGACATCTCCAGTTGTCTTGATCTATCCACTACCCTTCTCCTCATCCTTTCCTCTATCACTCCTATCTGATCTTGCTCCAAATTTTCTGTAACCCCTTGCGTGCTAGTGGCTTCTCGCCTTGTTTTGGGTGAAACGCTTAAAAAAAATCTATAGGTTCACACTCCTTTCTGTTAGCAAAACAGCTTTAATCTAATAGAAGTAGATAGGTTCGCCTATCTATAGGTTCACACTACTCCGCGGTTTTTTGAACAAGAGTTTTTTCCTGTTTAGGATTGGATTCCCGGTTCTTTCTGAAGTTTTTCTTTTTAATTCTCTTTCACTTCCAGTAGCCCCTTGGGTCTTAGTGGCATTATGCTTCGGGAGAATTGATAAAAATATCAGATTTTGTTGTCAAAACGAGCTTCGCTGACTAATTGGATACTCTTACTTGACAACATATATAAATCCCTCATTGTAAAACGCTGACAAGAAAAGATTTTAAATATAAATATAGAAGTTTTAACTGATTGACCCGACTTACATTTTTTGTTTAATATTGTTCAACTAATGCAAGGCCCAAGAGCCACTCAAGGCAAAGGTTACTGAATGAGATTGTTGCAAAGGATGCAGGATAGATATCGGTTAACTTGAAGAAGTTAATATTGTATTAATTAGGGAAGCATCCTTTATCTGTGTGTTTGATCGATTGATTCGTTTTTTAAGTCTTATCACCACTTTTTAGGTTATTTAAAGCCAGAATATTTTTTAGATTGCAAGATTTTGGGAGCGTGAGGTGATAATAATTGTTTAGTGATACGAGTCTTACTAATTAATCCATAGCTGGTGGGGAGAAAAGGTGGATTCAAGCCTTCCTCAAGGGTATTCGCGCTTAAGTGAATATAAAAACCCAACGGGAACTGGCACTCGGCTCTCCGATTAACAATCCTGAGCCATTTTCTATTACACCACTCGAATATCTAAGCTTACAGCGTTTACTATTCTGAAGCAGTTACCCACCTTGGTACTGACTGGGTTCGACGTTGCTTAACTCTGTGCTCTGTGTGTGTGTAAAAAATTTCCAATGAAAACTTTCACAAAGTCTGTCAGAACAAATAAGTTTCATTTGCAGATATTTCTAAAATATTGTTAAAGTTACTCAAAAGAAACAGAAATAAGTTTTGGAAAAATATTCAATGGATGCTAGAGAAAGTTCAGGAGGACAAGAACTAATCGGTGAATGGAAAAATAAATTTTTGAGGAATCATTGGGAATGTGAAAGCTGATGTGGTTGGTGACGCGGGGCTGGTAAATTAGGTGGGTGGAGCGGTCAAAGTATAGAAAGTCCCGTCTCGTTTTCCGAGAACATTAAATCACTGTAGCTAAAATCAAGAAGATTACGCATGCGTAGAGAAAGAAAATTGTTAAACATATTTTGGCGGGAAGGTAGTTGTAATGGCGAGATTGCGAGATATTTCCGATGTTGTTTTTTTTTTTTTCTCGAATAATTCGTTTTCTTTTTCAATATTATTTAAGAACATTAAAAAAATATCAAGATGAAAAAAGAAAAAAAAATGACGAAAGATAATAGAAAACTAGTGGCGGAAGTTACAATGAAAGATAGAAAAAAATGTAAAAAGAATTTAGGAAAATAATAAATAGAGGAAGTAAAAAGACTAAAGAAATAATAATAGAATAACTATATCAGGCGAGAGTGAAAAATGGAGGGAAAGGAAGAACTGGGATGTGTTCTAACAGAGGACGGAATATGTGACACCGAAATCCGATGGCGCATTGCAACAGTGAAAGATGCCTTCCAAAAGCTAAGCAAAGTATTAAGAAACGGGGAAATTTCGTTATAAACAAAGAAAAGTATACTAATTTTTTTATGCAATATCACTCTTCCTCTGTGGCAGTGATTTTTGGACAGTCACCTCACAGATGTTGACGACACTTGGGGAAACAGAAATGTGATTCTGCAGAAGGATGCTGGAAATACCATGAACTGAACATGGGAACAACGAGTACGTTTTAAGGAAAATGGAAAGAAAAAGGACGCTTATCCTTAGGATAAAGAAGAAACAGTTGGAATTTTTAGGTTACATAATGAGAAAAGAGAGTTTGGATAATTTGACCCTCACAGTACATATGGAAGGCAAGAGGGATAGAGAAAAGCAGTGAATAACCTACTTAATGAACTTGTGAAAACCGATGGCAGAACAAAGATTATAAATGTTAGAAAGGATAGGAAGCTATGGAGAGTCATGATCGCCAACATCCTTAGGAATATGGAATTGTGAATATATCCATCGCAACCTGTACACCCACACACGAAAATACGCACACACTCATATATATATATATATATTAGATAACGATATATAATTTTATATGTCAAGAAACAGTACTAAAGAAATAGTATGACAAACTGGAAAAAAAATTGTGATGCGTTTCATTCGTTAGGATTTAATCGGACTGGGCTTTGTTGATGTTGCCACGTCTACACATGTACACGAAACGAGAGACGCTGGTAGTTCCAAAATTTTTGAAAGAATATTTTTTTTCAGTCTAGCCAAATTCATCCGTATTATTTTTCTTATTTTTTTCTCTCCATCACCTTTGTCTCTAACTATCCCACATTGTGAAAATAGAATTCCTACCGAGAATGATGATATATTGTAAGGGCCTGGACGCAAAATTTACCGTAACTGAACTAGCGATCATGTCACTTTTTAGACATTTTCTTCCCAATGGATTATTTTCTCTTTTAATCAAAGTAACATTGCCTATTTCAAAATTGTGGTCCATTTTGTTACGATGAGCAAGAGTTTCATATGTTGTTATTTAAAATTTCCCTTTTGTGTTCATATAGTTTCTTGTTTAAACTTCTTGAGTTTTCTCCAATATATTCTTTCTGGCAGTTCCT